GCTGTCATTGGGAACGTGCCCAACGCGACGACCTTTGATGAGGCAGCTAAGTGGGCTACTACTTTATGTACCGATTTCAATGTCCCAGCTCCCACGCCCAACAACATGCCTTGCAAGAGTGAATTCAAGGGCGCGTTCTTCATCTGATTCGGGTCCGGCTCGGCGCGCCAGGTGTCCCTTGATACGGTCGATGCTTTCGCGAAGAAGCAGCCCGTGAGTTTAGGAAGCGCCGTCTGGGCCAAACCGGACTTCCCTGTCGGCATCCGCACGCAGCAGGAGGACCTGTTCGGGTGGCGCCGGATGCTGGCGAAGTGGGGTGTCAACAAGACGTGCACCAAGGTCACCACGGACGATTGTTCGTTGACGGTTGCCGGGGCGGTGGTGGCCAGGACGGTGGTGAAGGATTTTCGTCTCGAGCTGAAGCGGGTCGGCCTGGAATGGGGGAGGAGGGATGCATTACAGTCGTCAGGAGAGCTCTCCGAGATCGCCACGGCGGCCCAGGCGAAGCTCGGCAGGGCGAAAGCCTTCAGCGAGAGTGAGGGCAAGGGAAAGGGGGGTGGCTCCATGTAGGGGTCACGGCGGTGCGCAGACAGACAGGAAATTTCAATTTCACCCCTCGTGGCGCAGAGCGGCGAGGACGCGGACATATTCAGTATGGGCCGTGACAGTTTTGTGCGTGTTGGTCCTTGGAACGTTGGGGGTATGACCGAGCGAGTTGAAATTAGTTGAGATTTGCAATTACATGAGTTCGCAGTCCGTCGATTTCATGTGCTTGCAGGAGACACGCAAGCCGAATTCCTTTCATTATGACACAGAAGATGGCTACTTGGTGGTATCGTCAGGCACGGCAGGGGCGCATCCCGAATGGGCTGGTGTAGGGTTTGTTATCGCTCCAAACTTTCGTCCGCGAGTGTGCGGTTACTGGCAGCTGGACAGCCGCATTGCCTCCATCAAAATTCGCACTGGCGCTGGGCGGCTCACGCTATGCACTGCGTACGCCCCGCACAACGACAGGCCGACCGACGAGAAGCTGAGCTTTTACGACCGCCTACACCGTCATTTGGCGGCACTCCCTGGTTATGGTCATCGGCTGGTCTTCGGCGACTGGAACGCCAGACTTGGTGGAAGACGTGCTGGAAAGGAGGGCATTATGGGCGAGCTTTCGTTCGGCCGGGAGGCGGTGAAGAAAGCAGAGGTCCCAAACCGGGATTTGTTCATGGAGCTGTGTACGGATTTTGATTTCATCGTCGCGAACACTGTTTACAACCTCCCACCAGAGCTCAAGGCTACATACCACGAGCCTTGTGTCAGGCCTGGTGGCCCCATCACGGCCAACGGTTACAACAACGCCCTTGGTTTGCTGCTGGTTCCGGCGCCTCTGGAGAGACACCTGATGGGCATACGGAGTGACACGACGAGCACCCTCGCATCTCATCGATACCCAGTGTTGGCAAACTTCATGACCGGCGAGACAGAGTCCGGACAGGCGACGAGGCAGAGGCGCAAGCGTAAAGATTGGAGGGCGCTCGAGTCACCTGCGGGACGGAAGTCTTTGTCGCAAGCGGTTTCACGATTGACTACGCCGTTGTCTCGCTGTGGCTCTTTGTCCCAGCGCTGGCAAGCTACTTCGAGCTCTGTTTGGGCTGCTGTTGAAGCCGTCGTGCCAGACATGGTGCGCGCGCCGAACAAGCCGTGGATCTCCCAACGCACGCTGTCTCTGTTGGATGACCGGCGGCAGGCACGCGTCGACGGAGATTGGGAAGCAGCACTCGTTTTGAGGAAGTCTGTCAAACTATCTGCAAAGCAAGATCGTGCCACGTGGTTGGAAGATGTTACTGCTTCTGGTGACTGGGGTTGCATCAGAAGCATCACGAAGCCGAAAGCGAGACCTCAAGGCTGGTTGAATAAGGAATTCCCACATCCATGGTGCGCTTCAAGTGTGCCTGCTATAGAAGAAGGAGGACCCAGCCAATTGCGACAACTATCGCCTTATATCTTTGCAGTGCGTCGCAATGAAAGTTTTCTCAGCGATGTTGAAGGCAAGGCTGCTAGACGCCGGCATCGACGACAGGTTGTGGCGAACCCAATTTGGCTTCCGGGCTGGGTGCACTACGGAACACGCCATTTACGCAGCGAGGCGCAACATCGAATTGGCGAGGGCGAAAAAGAATGGCTCTGTTACTCTCGTCGCCCTGGACTGGAAGAAGGCGTTCGACAGCATCCACATTGACAGCTTGCTGGACGCGCTCAGGAGGCTAGGGATCCCAGAAGAGTTTCGGGCAATGATACGCGTGATGATGACTGAGAGGCTGTTTGTCGTCAGCGAATGCGGTAGCGATTCTGCTCCGAGGCCGCAGCTGTCTGGCATCTCTCAAGGGTGCACGCTCAGCCCACTTCTGCTTACTCTGGTAGTGACCGTGCTGCTTCACGACGCCGTCGGCCTCTTGGAAGGTGGAGCGAAGGATGCTTCCATGAAGGGTGACTTGTGCGAGTGCGTCTACGCGGACGACACCCTGCTTATTGGAACTGACGACGTTTTCTTGAACGAGTACTTGAAAGTAATTTCTGCCGCGGGTCGCAGGTACGGCATGGAGCTGCACTGGGGCAAGTTCCAGGTCCTTGCAATTGGGGCGAAAGGAGACGTTTGTGCACCCGATGGCACGGCGCTTAAGCAAGTCAAGCAGCTTCAGTACTTAGGTGCGCATCTGTCAGCCGATGCAGACGCAGGGCCGGAACTAGGGCGCAAGATCGGCGAAGCAAAAAGGATGTTTTCGTCGCTCAGTAAGTTATGGTCCCATTCCTCTGACGTGGAGACGCAAAGTACGCATTTTCTCGTCAGTGGTGGACTCGAAACTGCTTTACGGGCTCGCTGGAGCATGCTTGAACAAAGCCCAAACACGTCGTCTGGACGGCTTCCAGAACAGGTGCATCAGAAAGATCATTGGCATCAAGCCGTCATGGTTGTCCAGGGTACCAAACGCAGAAGTGCTAAGCCGTGCGCAGCACACGGGTGCCAGCACCCTGCTACTATACCGGCAGATGCTTCTGTTCGGCGACGTGCTGCGCTCACGTGAGAACAGCCTGATTCGCCACACCACGTTCGCACCGAATTCTTTCACGCCGGCGGCTGCTGCTGGAGTGAGGCGCAGAGGCGCGCCGAGCAGAGAGTTCGCTCCCATCTTGTTGAAGCACTCAGTAGGAATCTTCGGCAGTCTTCATGCGACAGTAGAGGCAGCGCAGTCTGTATCGGGCTGGAAGCGCACGCTGCGCCATCACATTCTCTCATTGTGATTATCCAACTGCTTTGTCTATTGCATGTTCCGCGCTCTGTCTGTCCACGCACCGCCTGGTGTACGACTCGGAAGAAGAAGAAGAAGAAGAAGAAGTTTGTAGTCATCATTCCTGGCCCGAAAAAATCCGCACTATATTCACCTCGAAATCTGTAACGAAATTATCCAAGACAGCCCAGTCCCATCCCATTGTTTTCCGAACGAGATCCGCTCTGCGATGTTGGCGCCATGACACGAGCAGTGGAAAGGCGCCCAGCCACGTGCGCCCAGGCTTCCGCACGGGCTGCCCGCGTCGGGCGTGCCTGGCTTCCTGGCGGGCAGCCTCGGCGGCGAAGCCGCCGTGAGCAGTGAGCCCGCCAGGGGCCCCCCGCGCAATGGGAGAGCGCTCAGGCCGGCATGAGCTAAGCAAGCTCGAGCCAAGATGTTGGGGCAAACAGGGGAAGCGGCCTGAGCCAAAATGGCTACGGGGGAGGCGGAGGAGGAGGAGGCGGAGGAGGAGGAGGGAGGAGGCAGCGGGAGGAGTGGCGCGGGGCGCCCTCTCTTAAAAACGAAGACCCAACACCACAGGATAGCTGGGGAAAAATGGCAGAGACGCCTGCAGCACGAGGAACGCCAAACCTGGGCGTCCTGGGTGGACCATGGTCAACGTGTTCTTATCTGGCGTTTCGACATTGGACGGACGGGGTGGGCGGGGGGGGTACCTGGCTCTGGACCTCTGCTGAAACGCGACTGTTTGCAACAGTGCGTCCTATGGGGGAGACAACACCTGCTTGAAACAGGCGCCAACAACAGCCAAGAACTACTCCGTTTGGGGCCCGCGCCGATCGGCAAAACAATGAATAAGAACACGATCACACGGCGGGCGTCTCCTGCCTCGCCTCGGGCCCGAGGACCGTCCAAGATCGATCCAGACCCATGAGGTCGGGAGCTCTGGTCACGATTTCTTCGTGACGCCATGTCTACTCAAAGGTCAAAGGTGGGCCAGGGAAAGAGATGACGGAGGGGAAGGAAGAGAAGGAGGGGGAGGAAGAGGAGGAGGAGGAGGAGGAAGAAGAAGAAAAAAGGGAGGTGAACGAAGGAGGAGCGAAGGAGCAGGAGTAGAAGGAGGAGTAGGAGGATGAGGACGACGACGACGACGGGGACGAGCACGAGGGGGGACTGCCAGAGTCTGACTGCACGCGGAGGCTGAGCCTACATACTTATAGCCTGGAGACAAGGTACGGCGGATCCCTACTACAATGCGGGCGCGGTCGCAAGAAACCCTCGCAAGAAACCCAACCCTGAGAACCCGTGCGCGAGGTACACCTGAGGGGAAACCTGGAGCACCTCTAAAGCAGCAGCTCCTTCAACGGCTGCGGGAAGTCACCGCGCAGCGCGAGGAGCGAAAAAAACGAGGATGCCCTGGCGAAAATCACATGGTTACTTGATGCGCGCTCCCACTGTACACTGACGGAAAGGAGCACGTGACGAGCAAGTGCCGGCTGACGGGAGCAGGGAAGATGCCGCTGCGCGACTGCTGCCTGGGCGGCCGTCAGGCGAGGGCACGGTTCAGCGCGCGGCGCTGGGACCGCGCCCGCAGCAGGCCGGGAGGAGCGGAGGGGGAGAAAGGGAAGGAGGAGGGAGGAGCGAGGAGGGAGGAGAGGGGAGGAGGGACGAGGGATGACGGGGAATGCGGAGGAGGGGGAGCGACGAGCAGGAAGAGGTGGCCGCTCCTTCTGCTTCGTCGCGAGCTTCGCCTCGATGTCGTCGTCATCCCACTCCTCGTCGTCCCATTCGTCTCCCATGGCTCGCGGAGCTCCCAGCCGCGCGCGGCCGAGGAGGACAAGGAAGGAGGAGGAAGGAGCAGGGAGGGAAGGGGGGAAGTGACTGCGAGGAAGAGAAGGAGGAGGAAGTGGAGGAGGAGGAGGTGTAGGAGAGGACGTGGAGGGGAGGAGGAAGAAGCGCGGGCGGAGGAGGGGGGGGAGGTTCCAGGGGAGGAGGGGAGGAAGGAAGGGGAAGGAGGAAGGAAGGAGAAGGAGGTAGGAAGGGGAGGAGGGGAGGAAGGAGGGGAGGAGGGGAGGAAGGAAGGGAAGGAGGGAGGAGGGGAGGAGGGGAGGAGGGGAGGAAGGAAGGGGAAGGAGGTAGGAAGGAACGAAGAGGAAGGAGGAAGGAGCGACCGTAACTCGGGGGCAACGTGCAGGCTGCCCTCGAACACATGAGATGTGACAGAAGGTAGTCGCGACGCTGGGCGCGGGAGGACCTTCGGATATCAGTTCTTGCAGAAGCGGCATGGACATGCAACCAGAAGGATGAATTAGGACGCCCCCTCCGCTCCCTCCCCCCGTTCCCGCCTCCCCCTGCGCTCCAGCCCCCTTCTCCTGCTTCACTTCCTCATCCTCCGCTTCACCACCGCCTCTTCCTCCTCGTCCTCCTCCGCATGACCTCCTCATGCTCTGCATTCCTCCTACGGAGGGAAGCTGCGAGGATGATGAGGAGAAGGCGGACGAGGAGGAGGAGAGATGTAAAGACGAGGAGGAGGTGGAGGAGGCGTGCGGAGGAGGAGGAGACGAAGCGCGCAACGTGGCAGCGGCCGTCGCCGAACGCGTAGCCCAGACGGCTACGATCTCTGGCGGCTTGCACTTCCCGCAGGGGTGGCGCTCCTGGCGGTCCACATCCTCGTCATCGCCCTTGTCCTCGTCCTTTTCGTCCTTCTCGTCCTTCTCCTCCTCATCCTCCTCCATTGCCTCGTCATTCCGTCCTCCCCTCCTACTCGTGCTCAGCATCCACATGATTATTGTCTGAATGACCCTCGTCGTCGTCCTCCTGCTCCTCCTGCTACTTCTCTTTATCCTCCTCCTCCACATCCTCCTCCTCCTCGTCGTCGTCATCGTCATCATCTTCATCATCATCAGCAGCATCGTCAGCATCACCATCACCATCACCATCATCATCATCATCATCATCATCATCATCAGCAGCAGCAGCATCATCATCATCAGCAGCATCATCATCCTAATCAGCATCATCATCGGTATCATCATCAGCATCAGCAGCATCATCATCATCAGCAGCATCAGCATCAGCATCATCATGACCATCGCCATCATCACCATCATCACCACCATCATCATCATGATCATAGGCACCATACTCGTAATCAGCATCAATATCATTAGCATCATCAGCAGCAGCATCATCATGTTCGTCATCATCAGCAGCAGCATAATCACCATCACCATCACCATCACCATCACCATCATCAGTATCATCAGCATCAGCAGCATCCTCATCATCATCACCATCATCACCATCATCACAACCGCCACCACCATCATCATCACCACCATAGTCATCATCAGCAGCATCATCATCAACACCATCAGCATCATCATCATCATCATCATCATCATCATCATCACCATCGTCGTCGTCGTCACCATCATCAGCAGCAGCATCATCATTACCATCATTCTCAGCATCATCACCATCGTCATCATCGAACAACTATTAGTAGTGCTAGGAACCCTCATAATCATCATCAACATCATCAGTGTGATCATCCTTTTCAGAATCAGCAGCAGCAACATCATCCTCGTTATCATCATCGTCATCGTCATCATCATCAGCATCAGCATCAGCATCATCATCGTCATCGTCATCAGTAGCATCATCAACATCAGTACAATCATCACCATGAGCAGCAGCAGCAGCAGCAGCCTCGGCATCATCATCATCATCATCATCACCAGCATCATGATCATCATCATAGCCATCATCATCAGCAGCGTCATCATCATCATCATCATGATCATAGGCACCATACTCAAGATCAGCATCATCATCACCATCAAGATCAGCAGTATCAGTATCATCATCGTCATCATCAGAAGCATCGTCATCATCATCAACATCATCCGCAGCATCGTCATCATCATCAGTATCAACGTCATCCGCATCGTCATCATGATCATCTGGATCAGGCGTCATCGTCAGCATCATCCGAATCAACATCATCATCGGCATCATCAGCGTCACCATCATCACGAGCATCACCATCATCATCAGCAGCAGCATCAGCGTCGTCATCCTGATGAGCATCATCATCATCATCATCATCATCATCATCATCATCATCATAATCAGCATCGTTATCATCCTAACCCTCTGCGTCATCGATGACATCCCCACTGCTCATCCTACTCATTCACTTCCTCATCGTCATCTTCCTCGACCTCCCTGTACGTTCCGACTCCCGCCCCTCATCCTCCTCATTCTTCTGCACCTGCTCGTCGGGCTCGTTCTCGTCGTCATCGTCCTTATCTTCCTCTTCCTCGCCCTTGTCATGATCCTTTTCCCCATCCTCCTCATGTCCGCCTCCTACACCACACCCTCCTCATGCTCCTCCTCTTCCTCCTTTTCATTCTCCTCCTCCTGGTCATCCCCCTTGCCCACTGTCTCGCCATGCTCATATTATTCATTGGATTCCTCCCCGTCCGCACTATTCTTCACCCTTCACACCCGCATCCTCCTGCGCCGTGCAATCCTTTTATACTGCCACCCCCCTACCGCCGAAAGGCGTCGTGGGCGTTCTGCGTTCTCGTCTGCCTTCTCCTCAGATGGCCAGGCGCCCGTAAATTCAGGCACTTGGCCAGACATCCACTGAATTAGAGACAAAGGCTAGAAGACTTGTGGATGCCACGACAATGGACACCCTAACAATCCCATCATATCATGAAGTTAAACATGTGTTTGAAATGCGTACAGCATGCTCAAAGCATATTTCAACCATGCTTTAACATACTTGGGACATGCTTGAAACATGTCTTCGACATCTGGACATTGTTTGGCAGCACGCTTCCTCTCCATTCCTCGCCCTCCAGAACACGAAGACCCGAACAGCTCCACGGCGTGCCCGCTGCACTGCCTCCCGCACGCCCACGGCAGCGCGCTGGACGGGCCCGCGCCCCCGGGCGCGCGCCCCTGGCCCTCGGCCCCCGCAGCGCAGGGAGCCTCTCTCTCTTCTTTCCCGCACGGAGGGGGCACTGGACGAGGAACTACTCGATAAGGAACCCAGGGTCTGGAATGGGAGAACAAAAAGAAACATAAACAGAAGAACTCGGAGGTCCGCGCGGAGTTCTCGGATCGGCGCTGGACCCCCCTCCCTGGCGCGCGGAGCGTGCCAGGGGCGGCGCCAGAGGCGCCGCCAGGGGGCCCCGGCGCCGATCCGAGAAATCTGCGCGGACCTCCGAGTTGTTATGTTTATGTCATTGTTCGTTCTCCTACATAAGGAACCCAGGGTCTGGAAGCTGGTGGAACACCAATCGTGGATCGACCGTGGATATCAACACCGACCCCATCAGGTAGGGAACCCTCCAGGGTCTGGACAGAGAAACATTCGATGAGGAGCCCAGGGTCTGGAACGAGATCCAGGTCAGTGCCGCCATCGATTCTCAGATCCTTGAGGATCTGTCGGGCGTGCCGGAGACGCACAGGACGGAGGGACGGAGGGGGGACACAAGGAACGGCAGGCGAGTACGAATTCACTTCCAACTCGGGTGCCACCCACTTGGATTGAAACGTCTCTGCGAACAGACCCGCCTGGTGGAACACCAATCGTGGACTGATCATGGATATCACCACCGACCTTATCAGGTCAGGAACCCTCCAGGGTCTGAAGCCTCCTGGGCACGTTCCTCAACGAACGCCCCAACCGTATGTGGGACGGTTGGGGTGGAGCGGGGACGGGAGGGGAGGGGGACGACAGCGGGCGCCCGCGCGGGCCATCTTGAGGTCGGGAAGCGCGTTCCACTCCGATGGGTATCATATGATGGTCACGGGGCTGACCGCCTAGCGTAAGCCAAGCAGCTACTAGAGTGTACACTGTCCAGGGCGGCGGGATTTCGCCTCGTTGACGAGGTGACGATCACGGTGCGCGCCGTCAATAATCATAGTCCTGCCGGTGAATCCGAAACTGGTTCTTTGCCATGACCGCTGCGATTCGACTGCCGTTTTCCGCCTGTTGGCGGCAATCATTGCTGTAGAATTCGATCGTAAGAACGCCGCTCGCGATTTCCAAACGCAACCTGGGAGACCCACAAACTCAGTAAGTAGCTTATGGCAACTGTTTATGTTGGCATGATTTCCTTACGCAAGTTCTGCCATATCCTGGCATGGTGTTATACGATAGGGTGTGCTGTGTGCGGTGGTTCCCATGCCAGTGCGGTGATACGCTATATTATGTCATGCTGTTACACGGTTCACATGTCAATGTTTCTATGGCGTAAGCTTCTCTCACTGATCCGTACCCTCCTCATCCTCATCCTCATCCTCACTCCTCGCGCTCCTTCTTCCTCCCCACCTCCTCTTCCACCCCCCTCCTCGTGTACCCACCCCCTTTCTCTTGCTCTTCCTCCTCCTTTTTCTGCGTCTCCTCTTTCTCCTCCTCCTCCTCCTCCTCCTCCTCCTCCTCCTCCTCCTCTTCATTCCTCCTGATCCTTCCTTCCTGTACCTCCTCTCCTGCTTCCTCATCCTTCCTTCCTCCTGTTCCTTTTCTCTTCCCCCACATCCCTCCTGCTTATCTTCATCCTGCGTCATCTCTGCTCCCACTTCCCTCGGGTTCCCCTGCCCTTTCTGTTTCCACCCTCTCCTCATCCTCCGTCAATCCAGCAGCCCGCACCCGGCTGGTGAGGAATCCGCTGCCCGCATGCTCGACACCCCTCCTCGGCGACAGCACACGTGGAAAAACAATTGGCAAGGGCACATGTGCCAGACGCATGTTCGATACCACCCTCTCTGCGAGCGTACTTGCATGTGCGATGAATCCGCTGGCCGCATGCTCGACACACCTCCTCGCCGACTGCACACGCGGAAAACGTGCCAAATGCATT